CAACCTAAGTCTGAGCAAATCTCTATGTCTGGAGGATACTGCTCACTACCGGGCAAAAACATTAGCTCAGTTCTTTTCAACAATTATAGCTACGTCGTTGTGGTGCAGCTCCCCATTCTCACCCTGAATTACAAATGAAATAGAAGAAAACAAAATTGTGACGATAACTATTTGACTGTATCAGAAATAAAAAAAAAACATTGTTAGTTTTAATGAGGAGCGGTTTTCCAATTTAGTTTGCCATCTGACTTCTACCAGTTCAGCACCACAGCAGTGGCATAGCTCAGAGAGGTGTGTGTGGGGTAGTTCTCACGCTTCTCCAATGCTCGCACACCTAGACATCTTCACTGTTGCCTTTTCTGAATTGGTGTGACAAAATCCTGTTTTCCTCCTATTCTGCACAGCAGCAACACATCGTCTCCACTGCTGCTGGGATGGTGTAGCTTCTCCGTGTTTCTGTGCTCAGATTTGTAAGTATTATAACGGAGCACAATCAATTTGATCAAGACAGCTCATTTCTTTTATTCAATCCATGAATTTGAAGAAAATATATGAAATAAGATGGCTTCAGTGCCATAAATTAAGTAAAGCGTTTTAATTTAATTGCACTATGTGTTAGCAGAGTATTTTTCCTGTTGCCTAGCAATGAGATTTACCATGAGATTCACCATGTGTTTAAGATTCCATTATTAACTTCTATTTTCAGAGGTTTATAACTTTAATAAAAATCATTACTTGTAGGGCAATCCAGAAAGTGCATGTCGGAAATTCTTTTTGTTGTTAGGGCATCGCTTACTAAGAAAGCTTGAGGTGGAAAGCTCAGGTGCCCTCTGACTTCTGTACCCGTTCTCCCATTCTACTCTATGTGGTAAATTTTGAAAGTAACTTTTCAAGCAGCCACTATTTTGTGTGATTTTGAAGCAATAAGCTATTTATAAAAGTGGTCTTCTACTTTGAAGGTTCTGCATGGAGACATTTTTACCAAGGCAACTACCTCTGCTGAGAAGAGCAGCAGCTGCTTTGTGCTTCCCCATGAAACTGAACACCTAGGAAGGGGTTTGAGCACTGGTATTTGAGGTCATCTCCGATTGCGTTCCACGTAGTAGTGGAATAGGTCTAGATGTTTTCTTTGCGGAACTATAATGCTTGTTAGGTGGGAGGATCACATGGAGCTTGATGAAGGAGACTAGTGCTTGGAGAGGTTGGAGTGGCAGAACGTCTGGTAAAAGTGATGACAAAAAAAAAAAAAAAAAAAGAAAAAAAAGAAAAAGAAAAAAGGTGCTATAGGATAGGCCCAGAAAGTCACCTTGTTCTACAAGAAGAGCTAGCTTAAAGTTGGGGCCAGCAAGTATATGCAAACCCAGACAGGTGTGGCCTTCCTCTGGACCTGCTCCAACAGGTCCATGTCTTTCCTTTCCCTCAGCCCTGTGCTGAGGGCTCCAGAGCTGGACACAGGACTCCAGGTGGGGTCTCAGCAGAGCGGAGCAGAGGGGCAGAATCCCCTCCCTCGACCTGCTGGACGTGCTTTGGGTGCAGCCCAGGATATGGTTGGCCGCCTGGGCTGGAAGCGTGCATTGCTGGCTCTGTAGAAGTATTTAAGGAAGGAGAATATAATTACTGGACTTGTAAATTTGGACTTAACAAAAGATGCCAGGATCAGCCTTTACGAAGACACGGCGGGGAAAAAAACGTATTTTGAGTTAATGCTTTTTAAGAAGCAAAACTCTCTATACCTTTAGCATTTCAAAATGGTTGTAATTATTATGAAAGATTTGATTTTGTGTATTGAGATTGATGCACTTCACTATTATAGAGGATCTGTGTGTTTAGTTGCGGATCTTTAAGGAGCTTGACTTATGTTGTAAACTACTGCTACTTTTTAACAACTGTATAATTTCAATTTGTCACCTTTATAGTGGTTAATTTTTAATTAAGAAACATAGAAATTTAAAGTTCATGTCTTCAAATGAGCAAAGTAATTTTCACTGGAAATGGAGACATTCATCAGCACTGGCATTCATCTCACTTTATAACTAAGCAAGATTAGTTAAGAAAAACAAAGTAAACCCCACCTTTTTTTACATAAACTGGCTTCTCTAGCCCATGCTTATGTTTCAGTACATAAATTTTTTCACATATATGTAATTTTTATTTGGGGTTGTATAGTCTCAATATGATTATGAATGCTAAGTACTTTTAGAAATTTGCTATGTCTTTTTTGTGGACAAATTATAGATGTAAAATCATATCGATATTATCGATAATATAAGTCAATATTAAATGTAAAAAAGTGCAGTGTTTGCTGCGGCTCACATGAGTAACATTTCCTGTTTGACTAGACTGTCTTAGGCACCATGTAGTGCTCCTGCAGCCTTTGTATAAAGAATGAGGATAGGGAGGTGTGCCTGAGAGTCCCTAATTTAGATCTCTAAAGTTAGAATTTGCAACTAACCTTCACCATCCCCCTTCTCCTGTAAGTGCTCTGAAATGTTCCATCTTCATCTGTCTTCCTTGAAAAACTCCATTTTTCACTCGAGTGCTGGATTGGGTTAGTGGTCTGGATTTCGCATCGCTTGTGCTTCCCCTGAAGATCATCATCCGTACAAGGACTGAATGAAATGAATGAGTGTTCCCCTGACAGGGTCTAACACTCCAGGACAATAACTGGGGGACTGGCAAAATGTCAGTTGTTTTTGCGGTTAAAATTACACTGAGGGAACGTGTAAAATAAAAGAGAAAGTAAAATCGTGCTCTTGTTTGGCATTTTCCTCTTATTAAAGCAGCTCATACTGTTGTGTCTTACATATGTAGTATGAATCAGAAACATACCATATAACTGCGTTATGTTTGTGTGGAGAGAAAAATGAGGGGGAGACATTTGTGGGTCTTTATTTTTAGCGTGGTTATGATTTCTGAAGCTTCTGTACTGCAGAGTCAAAAGGCTGTGTACATTACTGTTGGCTAGTGAGAGTGCACTGGTACTAACCTGTGCCACAGCAGAAGGGAATGGAGGATCTTCCAAAGCTTAATTAAACTGTTGCGAAATGTTTAGGTGAAGTATAGCATGGCTTTACTGATTGGATTTGTGTGGCAAGGTTTTGGTAACAGGGCAGCTACAGGGGTGGCTTCTGTGAGCAGCTGCTGGAAGCTTCCCCTATGTCTGATAGAGCCAGTGCTCCAAGATGGACCTGCTGCTGGCTGAGGGTGAGCCCGTCAGCGACGGTGGCAGCGCCTCTGGGGTAACTTATTTAAGAAGAGGGGGAAAAAAACCAGCAACAGCAATTGCAGCCAAAGAGAGGGGAAAGAGAATATGAGACACACCACTCTGCAGACACCAAGGTCACAGAAGGAGGGGCAGGAGGAGATACAGACACCGGAGCAGAGATTCCCCTGCAGCCCATGGGGAAGACCATGGTGAGGCCGGCTGTGCCCCTGCAGCCATGGAGGGCTTCACACTGGAGCAGGGGGATGCCTGAAGGAGACTGTGACCCTGTGGGAAGCCCATGCTGGAGCAAGCTCCTGGCAGGACCTGTGGACCCACGGAGAGAGGAGCCCAGGCTGGAGCAGGTTTGCTGGCAGGACTTGTGACCCTGCGGGGGACGCAGGCTGGAGCAGCCCGTTCCTGAAGGCCGGCAACCCGGGGGGGACCCAGGCTGGAGCAGTTTGTGAAGAACTGCAGCCCGTGGGAAGGACTCATGTTGGAGAAGTTCATGGAGAACTGTCTTCTGTGGGAGGGACCCCACAGTGGAGCAGGGGAGGAGTGTGGAGTCCTCCCCTGGAGAAGGAAGGAATGGCAGGGACAACGTGTGATGAACTGACCTCAAACTGCATTCCCTGTCCTCCTGCGCTGCTTGCAGGGAGGAGGAAGAGAAAATCGTGAGCAAAGTTGAGCCTGGGAAGAAGGGAGGGATGGGGGAAAGGAGTTTTAAGATTTGGTTTTAGTTCTCATTATTCGTCTCTGATTGGATTGGTAATAAATTAAATTAAATTTCCCCCAAGTCGAGTATGTTTTGCCTGTGATGGTAATTGCTGAATGATCTCCCCCTGTCCTTATCTTGACCCAGGAGCCTTTTGTTATATTTTCTCTCCCTTGTCCAGCTGGGAAGGGGAGTGATAGAGCAGCTCTGGTGGACACCTGGCGTCCAGCCATGGTCAGCCTACTACACTCTATATTGCGTAGGCCTAGGACCATTTCTCTTTGCATGAAGAGAGTATTAACTGCAGTACACAGTGGTCTGGAGAGAGTTATTTGGCTCTCCTGGAAATCTCTCCTAGTAAAGAACATAAATAATCACAGCATTCTCGTATTTGAGCTCAGTATCTTTAATGGTCACCCTCATTTGATGCCTAGCAACCAGTAAACTTTTTTGTTGTGTCATGTCTTATGTATGTTGTACGTTTGTATAATTATACCTGGTGATTTTAATTTAACAAATCTGTTGGTTGGGTTTTTTTTTCCTCTCAACAGCTCTTTTTTTGAGGAAAAAATCAGTACTGATAGCTTTAACTTTGCAACAACAAACCAGAAAAAAATGACTAAAGATTTATATGTGGTTTCAAAGAAGTGATGAGCAAGCAAAATTGGTTTTAAATTAATGGAAACAATTTCTAAGCTGTATTTGTTGCACAAACCCTGGAATTTTAGCCTGAATTGTACCTAACATCTGCTTCTAACCTGTGATTAAGCAGCTTCAAAATAAAAGTCTTAATTTAAGTTGTTGCCACTTTTTTGGGGAAAGAATTCAGTAAGGATTATGCTCATACAGTTAATAATAAAGTGCTCATAGTTTTGAGTGATCAGCAAAGATTGCACTTAGAAAAATAATATCTTGATCCGGTACTGAAAGTGTGACTAAAAGCACATCTTGGTATCATTCTTTTGAGGTGTCCTTGGTTCACTTGTTTTACATTATAGGAAACAAGTACTGCAATAAACCACAAAGTCCCTTAAGTAAAAACACTTCAAACCTCCAACATACATTTTTATTGTCATCTTCTAGGTTGACTGGGGTCAACTGGACTATTTAGTCATTGACATGCCACCTGGGACTGGAGATGTACAGCTGTCAGTCTCACAGAATATTCCAATTGCAGGTACGTGTATTGCTTGAACTGTTTCAGAGATTTGAAGTTAGTTAAGTCTGGTAGATTTAGAAAAATCTTATTTTAAAATGCCCATCAAAATTTCTTTTAATTGTCTTTCTAACACATGAAGAAACTCTTCTGTCAGTTGTGTGATGATGAAAAACACTATTAGTGATTTTTAACATGCTAGCATTTTGATTGTGTTACTGTCTTTTAAGTTACATTTCGAAAAGATTGAGAATTTAAGTATAGCAGTACTCTTGAAGGAAAGGCAGTCATGCCAAAAACTGGTAAGGTTAGTAGGAGAAAATATTTTCTTTGTGTATATCTACTGTATAGTAAAGCTAATACAATAAAATAGTTTGTCTTCATGATTTGCTTTTTAATTAGTGGCTGACAACGCTGTTAATGCACATTTATTTCTGATAATCTATGTAGCACTGTAATACACTAATGCATTCTTCCTCTTGTGTTATGAATTTGATTATTTGTAGGGGGTTTAAACCTTGACAAATCAATCTTGGGTTATGCAGGCTGCCTTGTAATCTCATTGGTTTCA